GCTCATATCTCGGAGGCAAAATGAGCAAGAACGCTCATTTGTACATCATTCTAGACATAAATAAATGGCCTTTTTAGAAAGTGAACCATGGATGGCGAAATAGTGGTAGTTTTCTCAAAAAAGGCTTGAATTCAAGAAGTTTTAGATTTGCGTGGTTTTCTTTTGAGTTGCAAAACCCACTTGAACATGACGCTGCTTTTTTCGAGGTTTCTCAAGTTGGATAGAGAATTGAATGGGGGGGTCATGACCCCGATGACCCCCCCCTAGATCCGCCCTTGTCTATCAGGCAGTAAAAACTGCAGCTGTACAGCTCATCCGGTTTGGCTCAAAATTTGACCAAAAACAAAGGGCGGAGTCCAAGATCCTCAGACCTAGACGCAATTTGATGCACAGTTGACCGCATCTTATAATGTTGCCCGTGGTTGTTGAGGACAACGTTCTGTTTAGAAAAAATCAGCAAATTACTATTGATGGTTCCATCGATCAGTTCAAGGATGAAACTGGCAGGATCGTCCAGGGTGGCGGCGAGCGGTTCGCAAATTACTTTGGCACTCAACTGTGTAAACGGCAATTTGTGCCCCGATAATCCACGTAAAGGATAAATTACGGGGCAATATCGGTGGTGCGATGGAAAAATACGCAACAAAGAAGAATAATGAAAATTGATAGATTTCGCTGGCAAGTCAAGCGGCAAATAATACAGGGCGCGCATCCTCGCGCTCCCGAAGACATTGCGATTTACGTGGTTTGTTGGTTTTTTCTTTGCTCGACTGTAATGGGTTGCCCCTGGTGGATCAACTATTTATGTCAGAAACCGCATTTCCAGCAGAATTCGACGCGTACCCGTTCCCGAAAATTCCGGGCGATCGCACCTTCTGCATGTCCATTGATAAGATGGCGATCGCCTTTTGCATACTGGGCGTGGTTTTCCTGCTGGCCGTCCTGGTGGCCGTTTGCTCTCTACTGAACAGCCGCAGAAGCAACAGCGGGCTCCAGTATTACACGCGGTAAGTCCACGTTATTTGCCTGCCGCATTTTCCAGGTTGTCTAAAAATCGCACTCTTTTGCAGGAGTTTGTTTTCCAACAGCAGCAGCGCCGGCTCGGCCTTCGGCAGCAAACTCTTATCGCAAGACAGTCCGATGTTCGGCCAGTCCAGCACGCCGACATCCAACCGGATGCAGTACGGGCGCATTCTTTGAGTACCTGTGGAAATTGAGACTGAAAAAGGCCTTCTTGGTTGGGCACATCAACTGGCAAGGACGTGCCAAACTAATAAGGAAACCGGTGTTGGGCATAGTTTAATAAATAGGTTCCAATGTTGTTTGTTGTTGTTCATTGGGACGCTCAGGCTTTTGGGCAACAAGTGGCAACGCACAAAGGGACATTTAATAATAGTCCTTGAGGGCGGCCGGCACATATCAAAGGCTGTGGCCAGTGAGAAAATCGATCGAAAAAGAACGGTGACTAAATTAGATCGTAAAATGCCACCGATGATGCCTCAATTTCCTGCCGAGTACGCAAATAAAGCGAATCCAATGCCTGTTACAGGTTTAAATACGGCCGGTCATCTCGGGGGGCATTTCAATTCCGAAGAATGGCAAATTTTATGGTATTCGGGAATCAGTTTCGTTCACACGGCGCAACGTGACTTTGAAAACTTTTGTGGTTGTTGTTGATGATGATGATAACTCAGTTTGCCCCCATTCCACCACTGAATCGTCTATCGGGTGTCCACCCTGTCCATTGCAGGGGCGGATCCAGCTTTAAATTCAGGGGGTTTTATGTAGAAAAAATACAGTCTTCTGTTGTCTATGAAATTAGAAAAATTATCGTCGTATTGTGCAAGGGTGGCGTAAGATTATTGCAAAATTTCA